TAGGGTAGCTAGCCCAGCAGCTATTCTGTACGGGAGGCAGGCAGTGCGAAGCGTGGAGAGAGTGAATGCGGCGTGCCGGCTGTATTTCGGTTAATGTCAGAGCCCGTTTGAGCGCACCACCCCCAGACAGGCACGCCATAAGGCTGCCAGCTGTGCCTGGTAGGCAGCTCCATGCAGTGGCACCGACACGTTTTCCTGACAAGTCTCCTTCTTGTGGCCTAAGCCTGCTAATTTACTATGGGTGTAGCTCCCCTGTGTACCAACAGTCTGCTGTTTTACCTACGTGTGTCTAAATTTACATTCATTTTTAGGGTGCCATTCATTCATTAAATATGCTGTCTTTGCAGGTTATGATAAAAAAGTGGTCGATCCCTTGTCCTCTACCTCTAAATAGTGCCATGGAGACTTTACAGGTAAAGTGCATGCTGTTTTGAAGTTCTTCTAATTTTATTAGTCACTGTAATGGTTTCTTTACATTAACACTTTCAGAATTACTTGTAATTTAAATTCCTTCTTTTCTTAATCACAGAAACTAAAAAGTTTCACGTCTGCGGTTTGGATTTATTCTTTCATTATGCCATTTTTTTGTATGTATGTCTTACAGGTTTCAAATTCTACTGGGGATTGTAAAGCAAAGCTCTTTCATCTTTCAAAAGAGGTAATCTCTATTAACAATACGTGAACTTAAAGGGGGGTGGTGGTTTTGAAAGAATTGGGGTTTAAACTCTATCCAGGGTAAGCTATTCTTCTGTAAAACTAGTTATAGGCTGCTAAAATATTTCCTATACCTGCTGCCAAGTGTTACCCAGTCTCACTCTTTCTTTTTTATGTGAAGGCTGGCTGTCCAAGTTAGCATTTATGAAAACATTTTGCAATATGACCAAAGTATAAAGCGTAACAGATGCAGCGGTGCTCAGCCTCATGATGCAGTTGGATCAAGCCAACTTAACGTGCCCTCGGCTGGAAGTCGGTGCTGCTTGGCTGTATGCACGCTTTTAGTTCCTTGCAAGGCAGAACTGGTTGCCTGAAACTGCCTGGACCTAACCTTAGTTTTTTCTTACCTGAAGCTAATTCTTCAGCCCTAATGCAATCTTGTGCATTTCACTGGATGCCAGCTCTGGTATTTGTTAATTAATGTGGCATTTAAATCATGTCATCACCCATCAAGGCTTGCAGGAGAGGAAGTACCGTGTAGAGTTCCAGTCTCTGTGGGGTGGAGAGGAAGGGAAAAAGGGAAGAATAAATCTGGGCTAGGCCTGTAGCGTAGTGGAATTTAAGAGAGGGACACAGTTGGCTGCATTTGTCTGAAAACACAAAATCCATCCCCACCCTCCCAAGAAAAAGAGGGGGGAAAAGAAAAGCTTGGACAATGCAAACATGAGACAAATGTTATCTGTAGATCAAAGTAGAAATTTTACTTTGACCAGAAACATCTACCGTGAGACTCTGGCCTTTTGTGTGGCCTTTGTGCTTTGAAGAATCTTGGGACTCATCTCTACTTCTTTTTTCATTTTAATGTTGTCAATAGAAAGTGGCATATTTTTACCAGTATGGACCTGATGATGTCAGCATAAAAGTGTTTGTTGTAGTTCAGCTTATTCCACTTGGCAGTTGAAGTAAGGTACGCTGGAGGAGTCGTCTCTTCTGGTACAAGTTTTTGGAATACTGTACTGTCGTGGTTTCGCCTTATCTGGCTGTTAAGTACCACCAGTCGCTCACTCACCTCCCCCCCCTCGCCTAGTGGAAAAGGGATGGAGGAAAAAAAAAACGATAAGGGAGGCTCGTAAAAGTTGAGATAAGAACTCTTTGATTATATAAATGAAACTTATAATAATGCTAACAATACTACAGCTAATAAGTAATTAAAAGAACAGAAAAATAGAACATATGATAGAGGATCTCAGCACCTGTGGATTGACACAGCCAGATTCCAAAATGGCAAGGCAAAAATGTAAACGGAGAGAAAAAAACTGATCCAAAACCTCTGAGCCCAAAAGGAGAGAGAGAACCCCCCTCCCTGGGCCTGGGAGTGGAGAGAAACTTCCAACCCCCCCTCCCAGATCAGTTTTGCCTAACCAAAGACACTGCTTCTCTGCTGATATCCCGCCACCAAGTAAACCAAGAGCTCTCAGCTAACCCCCAAAAGCCTCAAACATCCCACCCCTACCCCTTCCGGGTCACTTCCTCGCGGTCCCCCTTCACACCTTGCAGAACCCCGCGCCTTAAGCTGAGCACCGAGCTTGATGTATGGTGGAATGAAACGAGAGCCCGTGGGCCGGCCGTCACCCACGCAGGACATCAGCTCATCCTTGCCTGAAACCAGCACATGTTCCACTAATTGTGTGGTTGCAACTTTAATTGTATAACTATCTTAAAACTTCATACGCCAAAGCATGCTGTATTTTCTGCATGCTGTGTCCAAAGTCTTGTGAAGAACTGGTAAGACAACAGTGAAGTCAGGATGAGGGAGTCGGGAATTTGGCAGCTAGCAGCGGACATCAGAATTTAGAAAGCTGCTTGGAAAATGTCACGAATGTTACCCTGGCTGGGCAAACCCTACTCTTTTACCTAAGTACTTGGCCTCAGTGTAGCTAAAAAAGGTCTTTCAGTTGTTGGCTTATAGCCAGCATGGCCTCTCCCGGTCATGAAATAGTGAGCTTTGACCACCACTTGTTGAAAAGGTCCGTATTTTGTGGAGAGATTCAGGGATCCCATTCTGTGTTGTGGAGATCTGTCTCAAAGCATTACTGTGGAAAGATTTCCACTGGCTTCCAACGCTTGAACTGAATTTGCCAAGATAATTTTCCAACCCTCTGCAGTAACAAACAACCTACAAGATGTTTTTCTTCTATTTTAGAGTGTTTATGCAATACCGACTATGGCCTTCTCTTTCCTCTGCCATACCTCAGTTTTACCCATCTATTGTGAACTCCGAAGGTAATGTATGAAAACACGTGCAGTATTACAATTTAATTACAATATTTC